GTGAAAGTGAATGGATGCAGCCAGGAGTGCGCACGCCGGACAGACTCCATGGGGCATGAGGAGTCTGCTGGATAAGAGACTGGCACCGGCACAGGAGGGACTGTCTGAAACCACCACAGCAGTGGGGGGGGGGGGGAATAGCCTTTAACTATGGGGAATAGCCTTTAACTAATAACAAAAATGTATCTTATTTGTGTATCACTCAGCCGTAGATCCTCAAATCATCTCTGAATTGGTGCCGACACTGTCCTTCCTTCTGAAGGGTGGCTACTTTTGCTCCTCATGGTCCCTGTGTGTGTGTGTGTTGTCAAGTAGCCAACGCTCCAAGCTCACTCCTGTGATGGACTACAATCTCAATACAAATTAGTAAACGAAACGTGAGATTGTCGTCCGTCATGGGAGCGAGCTTGGAGCGGTGGCTACTTTTTAACGCAAGGTACTTGAATCCATTTTTAAGGTTTTAACTCCCTAATTTAGTGTCACTTCAACTTTTAAAGGTACACTGAGTATTAAATTCATACAGGGAAAACAGTCTACCTACATCAGGGGTGCCCACAATTTTTGTGTTAAGATCTACTTTTTGAATGACGAGCTACATGAGATCTACCAACGGAAAAAAAAACCTCACTCGCTCTCTCTCCCCTGGATGTCTCTCCTCTCTCCCCTGGCTGTCTCTGCTTGCTCTCTCCCCTGGCTGTCCCTCTGTGCTCGCTCTCTTTCCTGGCTGTCTCTCCCCGCTCTCTCTCCTGGATCACCTTGCTGTATTTTAGAACAGGCTGTGTAAACTAATATTCTTTGATGTAATACATAGCACTTCAACCTCCAGTATCCACCAGAAAGGTGTCGGGGAGCTTGGCTCAGCAGACTCAGGCTAAATAAATATACCAAAATGGAATAAAGGGGGCACCATTCACACCCTTCATGATTTACCAGCATCAGCTTTGAGAGCTACTGGTAGATCACGATCTACCTAATGGGCACCCCTGACCTACATGATATTATCAAGGCATTACTGCAACACATCAGTACAACTTGCTGCCTTTTGTTAGTAATCTGGTGGTCTGGGAACGATTTCCAAACGCATCCACTGTAGGCTTTATACACTGATCCAATTTCCTGCTGAGTTGTCTAATATTTGAGTAGTGTGTGGCCCTGTCAGGACCCAAGTGACAGGGCCACACACCAACCCAACTTACAATATGGGAGTACAGAGATATTCTCCAGTCAGTAGGCTGCTATAAGGGAAATGACCGCGCTGTATAGCTTATCTCTAACATACAAAAGTTAGACCAGTGTGTGGCAGAGATGTGTCCCACTCAAGTGGGACGGAATAATACATAATTTGGAAGATGGAACAACTCGCGTGCATGAATTTAACAGTTAATTTATAGTCTTCTTGATTCTGTCATTTTACAAAACAATATTGTCTTTGCTGATGGGAGAATGGAGATTCTGCTACTATATCAGTCATGTGCCATTGAAGAATGTCTGTACTTGGCTGGCCAAAACACATTACAATATTTCTTTCATTTCCCCCATCCATGCTAAACGGGGTGGATGTAGGAATGTTCCCTGCTAGCTATTGTATTCTGATAGCTGTACGCAGCTGTCAGAGTGTCCAGTCAGTGGCTGCAGCTGGCTTCACAAATGTTCAGCCGACAATTTTACACCCAGTACCTTTGCAAAAAGTTGAATGATTTAGAAAAATTTACTTTTGTCAATCCAAATAATGCCCACAGGGTTACCCATTGATCGCATTTTGGCTAATTCAACAGGAAACCGACAAAATTGGTATCCATGTATGGCCAGCTTTATCATGAGTATTGATACCTTTTGGTGAGGGCATACAGCTGTAACCAGAAGGCCAGAAGCTGCAACCATGTGTGGTTTTTCACACTATGACTTCCACATCTACTCAATCTTTATTATTTCAATAATCAATATCTTCTGTCAGTGCAATCAATAATTGTATTTAATCTACTAATAATAAATGATAGAATAGTGTTCTCATTACAAGTTATGATTCAAATGAAATATATATGATATCACTTTACAGAATTAATAGATAACGCATTTTTTTCCGTTTATGCCAGATTCTTGACAGTGTCACATTCTCGTTCTCACACCAATGCCACCATGAGTAACGCCACAGATTCTGGATCAAGTAATATTAATGCTGACTCTATGGGAGGCATAGTGCTGGTCCCTTTTTTCCTAATCACTTTACTTGGGGTAGTTGTTGCAGTGGTAAGTTTCAAAAACCTCTGAACGCTTCTACTGTATAGCAGATGTCCTGAGTGTGTGTTTTATACTCGTTACAAGCCCTGTATGCTACCTAAATTGCTATTGAACTGTTACCGCTGTTAGTCCATGTTTGTATTTGTACAGTGTGCATTCTTTTTTAAGTTGTTAACAGATTTTCATTTTGTGCTTTTCTGTTTATAGATCATGTATGTAAAGAAGAGGAAAAGGTATCTGTGCTGAACATTTATTATTTCATAGTTTTAGCCTATTTAGTTTTCCTTTATTTTGTTTGTCATTTTAGCTATAGTAACACTTGTGCGAAACTACAAGCAGTGGATCAGCTATTTGTCAACATTCACTGAGAACTATTCATTGTGTTGATGTAATATTTATTCTTCTAATTTGGACAGAATCTTCCTATTTCTATAGTGCAGATATCCGCAGACCTTAACCCAGGGGCGTAACTAGAAATCACAGGGCCCCATACCAAAATATTGTATGGGGCCCTGTGATTTCTAGTTATGCCACTGCACAGCCCACCTGACATCCCAAACAGCCCACCTGAGAGTGACCCTGCAGAGCCCGCCATAGACTCTCTATGGTGGGCTCTGCAGGGTCTCAGGTGGGCTGCACACCTCTTACCTGTCAGCCCTGATCCGCTGTCCGCCTCCATGGTCCGCCTCCATGGTCGCTTGCAGGCCCCGCCTCCTTCTGCCATCAGCCCGCCTCCTCCGCTTCTGACACCGGGCCCAGCCTTCCTCCTCCACAGCTGCTGGCTGTCACTAACTCAGCTGCGGCTGTGAGGAGGAACGCGCCGCTGCACAGATCACTGGCAGGTTGTCGGTGATCTCACAGCGACACGTTCATCCTCACACCCGCCAGTGACAGCCAGCAGCCTGAGATGCCATAGTGACCCAGGCGGCCCGCACGGTATCAGGGGGATGTCCTGGCCTGGCCCCCCCCCCCGTGCCCCATAGCAGCCGCCTGGGTCGCTATGGCGATTGTTACTCCACTGCCCTACCATACAGTATGTTTTTGATAACCAAGCAGGCTGCCAAGGAGGGACTATGCTTGGTCATGCTACTCGGATGCATTTATCCCTTTAACGTGGTGCTTCCAAATGCTTCTTTTTGCTTAACTTTTTCTTCCCAGAGGATATTTTTCTTCCTATTGCAAGCAGAGAGGTTTGGGCAGCTGCAGTGCAGTGCTATGTCGATAAAGATTATGCAGTATTCCACATGGACACATGTAGCAAGTGATGGTTTTAGTAGTTTTAAGAGCTTTGTCGTCTGCTATCTCATAACACATTGCTGTTATTACTTTCCAAATAAGGAGTAGCTCTTGTCATTTTAATGATTTTCTTTGCCAGATGAAAAAAACAAGTGTAAAGTCTAAAGACAAACCAGTTTTTTTGTAAAACATTTTGGATAGGGTAAGGAATGGTTAAAGAGACACTCACCTTGCCAATCATGGCAAGGTGACCGTGTCCATGGAGAGACCCTCCCTCTTCCCCCAACTGCCTTTATACTCTTCCTACCTGTGCGCCCTTGCTGTTCCTTACTCCTCCACATTTGACTCCACACTTCTAAATATGGAGGAACTTGTGATATGCTCTCCTGTGATAGTGCCAATGCCTAGCAGCCAAATGCTAAGCATGAATACTGACACGTCACTGGGGGAGTGCAAGGGAGCACAGGTGAGGTGAGTGTAAGTAGGTTGGGATATGCCCTTTTCAGAGACACTGTCCTTGACCTGCAACTGTCGGGTTTTTCATGTATATGTGTACAAATGTGGATATTTCCCTTCACGTTCTCACTTTTAGTGCCAATGACAGGGGTCTCCAAGACAAATTGAGAGTGAATCTCTATAAAGCTACCAACACACATTACAATCTGACTGTAGAATCTTTGTACAATTGCCTTAAGATTTACCTAAACTGTAATATGAGGAGCTAATTAACTATAAAATCAGGCACTACATAGTTGTTGGTAGACCTAAAGAAGATTGGTTAGATTGTAATGTGTGTGGTGAGCTTACCAGGAGTGTATGTATAAAGTCACTCGCACTCCAATAGAAGTTCAAGTCAAAAACGGTTTATTGACTCGATTGCTATCACATCATCTAGCGACGTTTCGGAACAACAGCGGTTCCTTCTTCAGGCAAACAGAGCTTACCAGGAGGACACGACAACCATACAACCTGAGAGGGGTTCTGACCCCTCCATATAAACCAAAAATGTTAAAAACTTGTCTTTAGATGCACTTTAATGTAAATGGTGATATCAGCTTGTGTTAAGGTTTTAAGTTTCTATGCATATCTTTTAATTATTCATATAAATTGGGGCCGCCATACTTGCTTATTACATATGGATACTTCTTTTGTTGTGCTTTGCTAATCCTCTTATTGCAGTGGAAGTATACAAAACGTGATTGTAAACCATGGAATCTGGAGAAGTTGCCAATAACATCCAATCAGCTTCACTTTTCCCTTTGTTCTGATAAGCTTTGAAAATAAACGATAGAAGCTGATTGGTTACTATGGGCAGCTGCTCCAGATTCTGTCTGCACCAGTTTAAATAAATCCCCCCCTACGTAATCAAGGCTCCCTTCTTGACAGGCATGAGGTACATTGTTACTCAAAATAATGTGTTTTGGTAATACTGTTATTTATCAAACTGACTTCAGACCATTTATTCACACCGGGACTGTGAGCATCACTGTCAATCATCATTTAAGCCCATAAGGTCCTATTGCTCTAAATAAATGCCACTAGGACTATTTAAAACCAGCTGCCTATGTAGTAGAGTCATGTGACAACATTGATAACACATAACAAAAATTATACAGTTTACCATATTTTGTCCATATGGTGCATTCCTGTGTATAGTATGTATATGAATGGAAATTAAAAGAGAACTATGGCCTAACCTTTTTTGGCAATAGTTCTCTTTAGGGTCACAGGAGGACATTTACCATGTCCTCCTGTGTCACAAAACTCATCAATAGAGCGCTACATGCTGACAGCGCAGAGCTACGCTGCGGCCGGGAAAGATCCCGACATTATTGTCAGGATCCGATCGGCAACCTAATTGAAAGCAGGCGCTGGCTCTGCCTCCTAAAGTGCCCGCCCCCAACCCCCATCTGTCCCTCCAATCAGCACTGGAGGAATAGAGAGGGGAGGGGGATCCCTGTGGGGAGTGGCAACTGACAGTCACCGCTCTCTGCAGGGAGAAGTTTGGGAACAGAGCATTCAGCAGTATGTGATTGCACAGTTCTCGATCTATGTAGCCGATGTGTGACCGCTTCAGTGTTTTTCTCCAGTGTAATTCTCCTTTAACCTCCTTGGCGGTATTCCCGAGTGTAGCTCGGGGTTACTTTTCCATACCCTGAGCTACACTCGGGAATATCCCACATTATTTACTTACCTTGTCCCTCGAGCCGTGCGGTGTCCTCCGGCCGGCGCCGGCATCTGTCTTCCGGGTTCCGTCCCTTGAGAGCTGACGCGTCGCATGGGGGTGGAACCGGCGGGAAATGCGAAAAAAAAAACCGGAAAAAACGAAGAAATAAAATAACAAAAAAAAATCTAAAAAAATTGCGACGAAAAAATTACGAAAATCAAAATAATCATACCGCCAGGGAGGTTAAAATTGACATTACATTACCATACATATTTAACAATTACTTTTATTTTGAGTACTGCATGTTGTATTCATCCTACATTATTGCTTTGGCTTTTACCAGTAGTTATCTTGTCCTCAAAAGTTAAGGGTATGTTTTAATCAAATATCATATATTTCTCTAACTTAGGGTGGACCGGCTTAGACATCATCTGCTTCCTCTATACAGCTATGATCCAGCAGAAGAAATACATGAAGCTGAACAGGAACTACTGGGTCAAGAGACTAAGGTCTGTGTTTTCTTTTCTCTGTCTGCACACTAAATATGCAAATACTCAACTTTGCAGCACATGTAGTGATGGATGGGTGATGTACCGGGGTGAATTGAACTGCATCAAATTTCACTTTGTTACATTTCAATAAAGTTGAAGAAAAAAAAAGGATAAACTTTGCAATGTAATGAAAGCATGGCATTTGTGGTAGTGCATGCTGCTGAAGTGCATGGAGCTTTAATGTCTAAGTGTCATGTGTTGTGAGATGACTAATAGAATTGCTGAACTAGGTTGTGAGACAAACTCATTTAGAAAGTAGTAGATAAAAGCAATTTTGTTGTGCAAAGTGAAGTAACCCAATTCAACCAATAACATTTCCCCCTAAGGGCTAGTTCACACCATCCTCAGTGCGTTGTGGCCGGAACACACTGGATCGCATTCTGACCGTCTCACTTTGTTTTAGGGCGGGAGGGGGCGTGGCAGTGCATTGAACTCAATAGCACCACATCCACGCCCTCCGGCCGCAATGCGGTTAGCCACACGGGAACGCGCATGCACTACTTTTTCTGACTGCACTGGAACGCAGGCACTTATGTGCCACACGTTCCCGTGCGGCCGATCACATTGCGGCCTGAAGGCGTGGCTGCGGTACCATTAAGTTCAATGCACCATCACGCTCCCTCCCGCCCCAAAACAAAGTGAGCCGGCCGGGGTTTTATCAAAGTTTGTGACTACGGTGACCCGGTCACACATTCCAACATAATCCCGCCCAGTTTTACAGCGGTGGAATGTGTGACTTGCCCATTAGGTCAAGCATTCCAACGCTTTGTCAGCTGTTCCAGGACAGATCGGCTGACTGCGCATGTGCAAGCGAACCGATCTGCATTACCTTATATGCCAGTGCGTTCAGGCCAGAACGCACGGAGGATGGTGTGAACTGGCCCTCAATCATGTAGCCAGATGTAAATCATGAGTAGTTAGAAAAGTAGAAGCTGCTCCCCTATTCTGATGCTATGGATTAGTGTATTTGACATCTTTTATTAAGTGAAAACAAATAGGCTGCTTGTACAATCTTTCATGCATTTCTCTCTAGAGAAGATATGCCAAACTCGTATTGAACTGAGGTGTCAACCAATGTACACTAAGT